TGTAGGGAGAAAAATAGTCAAGACATTCGTAGGACACAGAAATGGTTTATTTCCTGTTGAAGGTAACATGTATAGTATTCTCAACTGGACTGGTCTGAGGTATATTGTATGTTGGGTAAATTTTCTTTTTAAGCTAAATGATGTATAGCATTGAATGTGTAAATAATAATAATAATAATAATAATGATGATGATGATGTATTTTTCTTTGTTTTCTATGCGAAAATGTGTCATGACGTTTCTGACAACCCAATAGTAATTCTAGTCCAGGCCATAAATCCAAAGTTCTGGGTCAAGCCTAAGTCCATTGGGATATGTCAGAACAGAAGAGACAAGTTGTGCTAGAGTTGGTGTGGTCAACAGCAGCTAGATGAAATGGGAACTGGACAAACCACGGAGGAGATTTCAACCCAAGTCCATAGTGGCTGAAGGCACAAAGTTGCTATCTGGGCCTGCTTGCTACAAAGGGCCAGAGTCATGTGCTCTGGCTCCTGCAATGTGCTTGTCAAACTGCTGCCCAGCACTGGACATCAAGAGAAAGAAAAACCACAAGCTCCTATTCCCAGTCCACTGCTCCTCTCCCTGAAATAATGAAGTGAACACTCTGGCTTTGGGCCAGACCGTATACTATTAAAATAGGGATTAACGTAACAGAGATTAGCTAAAACCATAAACACTTACATGCATTCACATTGTTTCCTGCAATACTTACTCCCAAAGGTAGGCATTGCGGTTGCTTATAGTAAAGATGCCAGCTATGATGAGTTTATTTAAATGAGATGGAAATGAGCACCGGCAAGTATTGGAATGATTAGAAACTGAGACCAATGGAATGTGAGTGAGACTTGAGCTTTCCAGGATTACCTGCAGAAAAGATGACGGCTTGACTGTCAATGAAAGGGGGAACTTATCATTATGCCTGCAAAACGAAATCATGTGGATGCAAAAACCAGAGTGTGCCAGAAACTGATTACTTTCTGCAATCATCTCATCAGTCCCATGTTTTAAAGGGAGGAATACAGACCATTTAGCCAAAGTTAGAACAGCAGCAAAGGAAGAGTGTCTCAACCTTAATGTTTTTCTGCTGTGCCCGAACAGAGACTGTTTCTGCAAAGGAATGCAATCAGGCTCTGACAAAAAGACTGGTTTATAAATGTTAAGTCAGTTATCCTGTTTTCATCTCATTGACTTTCGAGAGTTCAGTTTCTGTCTTGTGTGCAAGGAACACTTGGAAGATGAGGCAGCTCTGCTCTCTTCCCTCAAGGAACTTACTATGCTGGTGGAGAGACACACACTGAATGAATCATTAGGAAACATACCCAGTACACTTTTTCTGATGATGATAAGGATAAGGAAAATTAAATAATGAACACAATGATGATGTTGAGTACAGGGCAAAAAGAAAGCAAGAAAAAAAGGGGAAAGTAGAGAAGTTAGGAGATTGAGGAGAGGTGGATTATAGAGAAAGAAGTCTAGTTGTTTTTAGACATCAATGTAGCACACCTCTTGAGTCCTGCTCTCTCCCATTCTCTTAAGTTTTTATTTTGGCTCCAATAGCAAAGATACTGGCTTCAATTCAAAAGCCTATCTCAGCATGATTCAAAAACTGAATGGCTTCAGGCAGGAGAAAACTTTAAAGTACATCATCCGTGCTTTGCTTGATATTTATAAAAAGCTATCAGAAATTCTCTCCCATGCACTAGTCTCAAAGATCGAGGCAGAGCTGTAGCTGAAGGAGGGAATAGTATAAATGAGGGTGAGTGATCATCACCTCCCCTTCTCAGAGAGGGTGCAGGGGCAGCAGTCCCACGAGGAGGTGGTGGAGGGCAAGAGCAAATGAACAAACATGACTTTTACAAGAAAAAGACCCAAATTCTTGCCCGGTGCTCATGTGGCTGCATGAGGTATGATGAAAGCGATGGATAACCAAGATTCATTTGCCGCTTGAGAAAGCACACACAGAATGGTCAACACACTTGTTTGGTTTTAATAATGGATTAGATGCTACACGGAGAATGTAAAGCTCCTGAAGCTCCAAAGGAAACAGTTGACATTCTACCTGCTGTAAATTTCAAGTGCTCTGTCCTAGCAATCTCTTTTGGAAAGCAACCAGAAGCAAGTTGGAAAGCAGTAAGCTCTTGAAGTCTTGTACCTAGCCTGCAGAGATGGGATGTCCCCTTCTCCAGAGCAGATAGAATGTTCTTATGTGATACCCTCCCTCTGACTCTGCCATAGGCCATCATCTGCACTGGAGAAATGATCCCAACTGGATCTTGAGTTGAGATCTGGTCTACTTCCTACTGGCTGTGTGACCTTGTAGGAATTATTTAACCTCTCTGAACCCATGTCCAAAACCAGCAGTAGCAGTGACACTAGAAGAAAGAGCTTAAAGAAATAGAAAGCAAAGCAATAATAGCATCCAATTAACTGTCTATACTCCGTTTACTACCTTTCATCTATTCATTATCTCTGCACCTCAACACAGATGTTTAGCTTTGTATTAAGTTACAGAGAAACAGGCTGAGATAAGGTCCAGCTGCCCAAGGCCACACAGTAAGTGGCATGGTTAGGACATAAACCTAGTAAAAATCTTTTTCCTTTATGTCTGAAACTGTTATTTAATGCTGACTCCCCATGGAACTTAGTGACTTACTGGATATGTGTTGATTGAGTGAAAGTGTAGAACCCAGGACACCTCCCAGGGTTCGTATGTTGGTGGTATAAATCTCTGGGAAGAATGAAGAAGTCTACATGGGCACCTACAGTGTGTTTTGGTGTCAGAACAATCACGCCTTTGTCCTATTTATTGCTTGAGCTCTCTTCCCCTTCACCATCCACCTTTGCCAAAGTTAGTTATGACTGTGGTCTTCTCTTAGCAGTGCCTTACTCTTCCCTCAGCTGACAGTAACCTGACATGTGTCCTCACTACCCCAGTGAAAGAACTTCCCACCACCCACACTACTGAAATACCATTTCCCTCTTGACTGTCTGCACCTCACTTTATGCTTTTCTCATTCTCTAATTGCTCACAGACTTCACTGCTTATAGTTCATCATCTGACTGGTCTTGGTCGTGATCTCTGGTGTTTTATCCTTTTTTTAAAAAACTATTCTTAAAACTTCATTCATTCATTCATTCATTCATTCATTCATTTAAAAAAATTGATTAGAGAGATACACAGAGAGAGAGAGAGAGAGAAGGTGAGAGAGCAAGCCACCAGGTCCAGGACTCAAACTATGGTCAGCCATGTGGGAGCACCCAGTGCCTTAACCACCACGCCACCTGCTGGTCCTCTGATGTTTTATCCTAAGCACTCTTCTCTCCTCTACCCTTTCTCTTCCTTTTTTATGTCCCTCTCTCTGTTTACTCCTCTCTACTGACCCCTCTACCCACAGGTCCTGCTGAGTGATCTCACTAGTCTCATGAAGACAATTATCATAAAATTATATGCTAGTAGATCCAAAACTATGACACCAGCCCAGGCCACTCTTTGGAGATGAACTTCATACATCTGAGTCTTTTCTGAACATTGCCAGCTGGATGGCCCACAAACATCTCAAATTCCAAAGATGAAAAAAATTCTATTAAACACATCATATTTGCACTGTCCAATTTGCTTTTCCTATCCTATAGCCGCAGCCCTCAAATGGCAAGTCTGATTGTGCTCTGTTCCTAGTCCTAGACAAATTACTGGTTTCCTGTCTGAAGTGGAGTCAGTCCCTATAATCTGGACCATGATGTGGAAGAGCCAGGACTTACCACACGCTCCATTATGCTGATTCTCGTCACCTTGCATGTTCAGGTACACATGTGTATTCCTTACCCTTTCACACGTGCTAAAACCATCTTTATTCCACCTCCATCCAGATAACTATCCTTAAGGTATCTGCTCAGATGTCATTTCCTCAGGGAACTCTTCACCTTCTCCCCCCTAAGACTTGGTCAGGGCCCTTTCATAATCACATCCCTTACCTCTCTATAAATAACTAGCTGATATTTTCTAGCCAGGATAACTGTACCTCTTTTATAACAGGATTTATGGACTGCTATCATTGCTTCCCTCATGCCCATCATAAAGCAAAGGGTCAACACAGTTTAAAAAGTATTAACAATAGTGGAGGCCAGCAGGTGGCATGATGGTTAAGGCACTGCTCTCCCACATAGCAGACCATGGTTTGAGTCCCAGACCTGGTGGCTTGAAAATCATGCTGTGTACACATGTGCGTATGCCCAAAATCCCAGGAAAAGAATGGAGGAGAAGGAATTGTCGCAAGGCCAGCCCCCTTGTATATTGGAAGAATCATTGAATAGAGTGAAATGAAGGAATACATGCAGACGTGTTGTATAAGGCAAGGCACTTATCTACTTTCCAGTTGTTGTCCATTAAAGGAACCAAGGTCAGTCAGTGTCTTTGAAGACAAGAATGACGGTCTGACTTTACACTCATCCATTTATTCATTTAACTTCATTCATTCATTCATTCATTCATTTAAAAAAATTGATTAGAGAGATACACAGAGAGAGAGAGAGAGAGAAGGTGAGAGAGCAAGCCACCAGGTCCAGGACTCAAACTATGGTCAGCCATGTGGGAGCACCCAGTGCCTTAACCACCACGCCACCTGCTGGTCCTCTGATGTTTTATCCTAAGCACTCTTCTCTCCTCTACCCTTTCTCTTCCTTTTTTATGTCCCTCTCTCTGTTTACTCCTCTCTACTGACCCCTCTACCCACAGGTCCTGCTGAGTGATCTCACTAGTCTCATGAAGACAATTATCATAAAATTATATGCTAGTAGATCCAAAACTATGACACCAGCCCAGGCCACTCTTTGGAGATGAACTTCATACATCTGAGTCTTTTCTGAACATTGCCAGCTGGATGGCCCACAAACATCTCAAATTCCAAAGATGAAAAAAATT